CCAAGCCCTCTTCCGCCTCGGCCCCCTTGCAGCGACTGGGCCTGTGCTTCCTACTATGGCCTCACATGGCTCGTTCGCCCTCCCTGGGCAGTCTCAGCTTGCCCAGCAGGCTCCCACCTCGCCCCAACCCTCTGTTGAGCGGCCTGGTGCTCCTCCTCCACTTGTTCGCACTCACAGAATGACTACCCGTTCTCAAGAGGGTATTTACAAGCCCAAGCATCTTTTTACGGCCAATCTGGCGACCCGGACTCCTCCGATTGAGCCTCGTTCTGTCAGGTAGGCCATGCAATATTCCAAATGGGATGCTGCCCTTCACAAAGAACATGTTGCTCTCCTGCGCAATCACACCTGGGACCTTGTTCCACGCTCCCCCATTACAATCTTCTGGGCAACAAATGGGTCTACCGCATTAAGCATCATTTTGATGGTCTATCAATCTCTTCAAATGCCGCCTTGTTGCCAAAGGTTTTCATCAGCGCCCCGGTGTAGATTTTCAGGACACCTTCAATCCAGTGGTCAAACCTGTCACAGTTTGTATGGTTTTCTCCATTGCTTTATCACTGAATAGGGCCATTAAGCAGTTTGATGTCAACAATGTCTTTCTTCAAGAGCCACTCGAGGATGAGGTATACAAGGCTCAACCCCCTGGTTTTGTTAATCCTCAATATCCTACTCACGTTTGTCGGCTTCGTCACGCTATTTATGGTCTGCGACAGGCTCCCCGTGCTTGGTATACCGCCCTCAGCTCCTTTTTACTTGAGTTTGGCTTCCAGAAAACTCAGTCTGATGCCTCTCTATTTGTCTATCAACGAGCGGGCATTCTACTATATTTCCTGGTATATGTTGATGATCTTCTGCTCACGGGGAATGATGCTCACACTCTCTCTACCTTCCAGCTCGCTCTCGCCCAACAATTCTCTCTCAAGGAGCTGGGTGACGTTAATTACTTTTTGGGCATTGAGGTTGTTCCAACGGAATCGGGTTATATTCTATCGCAGCACAAGTACATGGTTGATCTTCTCACTCGATTTCATATGTTGGATGCGGCGGCAGTGTCTACACCCCTTGCCTCCTCTGTTACTCTCTCCTTACGGGATGACACTTCTCCCAAGTTGCCTTAGTACATTCACACTCCTTCCTCTCATCATTGGCAGTGCCTCAAGCATGTTCTCCGCTACGTTTGTGGCACTATCTCCTACGGTCTGGCTATTTGCCGCTCTTCCCTCCCTCTTCAGGTCATGGCGTTTGCAGACTCCGACTAGGCAGGCAATGTTGATGATCGCACCTCCACCTCAGCCTATCTAGTTTATTTAGGGACCACTCTCATCTCTTGGCGTTCACAGAAACAACGCACTGTTGCTTGCTCCAGTACTGAGGTTGAGTATCGGGCCATTGCACATGCTGCTGCCGAGTTGGAATGGGTCCAAAATCTATTGCACGAGCTTCACCAACCACTCTCTTCGCCACCTACACTTGTCTCCGACAATCTTGGAGCCACGTATTTCAGTGCCAATCCATTGTTTCACTCTCGGATGAAGCATTTAGCTATCGACTACCACTTTGTGCGCCAGCTCATTCAAGATGGCCGCCTTCATGTTCGCTACATTCCGACTGCCCATCAACTCGCTGACATGCTCACCAAGCCTCTACCTTCCACGCGGTTTCTCCTGTTACGATCCAAGATTGGAGTCGTTAACACCTCCTCCATCTTGCGGAGGCGTATTAGAGAAAAGAATAACATTTTTTTCTCCTTTTCTTTATTTCCGTTCCTATTCTTTAGCCCTCTCTTCCTGTACATTCTCCCCAACTCTGTACACTACCCTTCTTTCTCTCAACAGATCCTCCTATAACTATGTATAAAAACAGAACTAACAATAGAGAAGATTATCATGTTTCTCTCCAGATTATTCTCTTAGCAAATCCCTCTTTCCAACACTTACCCCATTTACGGTCCCAATTAGAATAATAATAATAATAATAATAATAAACAACTTTAATGAGAAGCTTATTTCAATCTAAATTAAAAAAAAATTAAAATCACTATGTTTTTGTGTGTGTGGATTTCATTCCACCTACGATTAGATAGAGCCTAGAGAAAATGATTTAAATATAGTAAAAAGGAGAACTCAAAAGACAAAAACTAATCTCTCATAAACTTTGCAAAGAGTATCAGAAGTGAAAAGATAGCTATGTACAATAATCGTTTGTTTGTTGACACGTTACACAGATAATTATGAGAAAAATTACAAGAATTGGAATTCTTATATGAAAGATGATATGATAGACCTTGACACACAACAACTTGAGGATATAGACTTTTTTTTTTTTTTTGCGTCTTGAAGAAGACTCGGTTGCTCCAACTTCAAGTGTACCAATTCCACCTCAACCTACTAAAGAAAGTGGAAGGGAACCGAAAATAAATAGAAATGTGTGATGTTATGTTTATTTTGTGAAGTTTGTAACAGTTGACCAAAGGGTATTGCTTGCACATAATGGTCAACTCTTTTGTATAGCAATTAGCAAGCACGTGAAGAAGTACCTTTGTATATCTAGTAGGAATGTCTAGACATAAAAAAAAAAGTAAGGTTCGTAATGGTTGACCAAAGGGTTATTACTTGCACATAGTGGTCAACTCTTTTGTATAGCAACTAGCAAGCATATTAAGAAGTATCTTTATATATTTAGTAGGCTTATTGATGTTCAGGTCATTATAGCACATAAAAATTCTTTTAAAATGAAGCATCACATGCCACATATATAAAATGAAATCACTTTTTACATTATTTTTCACTACTAATATTATATTAATTTACCTTTTTTTCATAGTATGTTTACCTTTCTTATGTATATTAAAAATAATATAATATTGACGCTTTGTTCACGCTCTCAACATCAAGTTCTTAACATAGTATATTAAAAAATAGACGCTCTCACGCTCTCGCTCCCACTTCCACTCCACGAATTGGTTACCTAATGTTAAACTATATAGTAAATTATTGAGAGAGAAAAAAATTTATGGTTAGGTTGGAAAACAGTGAGATCTGATCCAAACCATATTATACATATGTATATGGTACAGATTGAGAATTTGGAGTAAAGATCAGGCACTAGATCAAATACTACATGATTCAGATCAGATCACCCATGTGTGGTCTAGTCTGGTACGGTCTGGACCATGCAGATCACATTGAGTAAAAAATGAACAATTTACTTGTCCAACACACACAAAAATCTATCAATAAACGAGAAAAAGTTAGTTTTTTCTGCAAAAACATAAATTCCAACAAGCATACATAAATTTGATACAGTAAATCCAAGTAAATAATAAAACCACAAAGTTAGAGCAACACAACGTGCATCATAATGTCATAAACATTAAATAATGTCATATGGAGACACTATTGTCTTTCCTCTACGACAATGTGGTTTTATGAATGAACGGTGGATGAAACACAAAATTAGGGTTGATACTCGGGTCTTGTGAAGGATTTGAAAGAGTGGTCGAGTGAATTGTTAACACGAACTGGAAAGCGGAGTCGATTCACAATTTGGTCCAGTAAATTGCAATTTAGACCAAATCAAACCAAAAAATTAATACATCATAAGCAAATCAACGTTCTGACCTAACCATCTGATCTATTTTCCCATTACTACTATATATTATCGGTTTTCTACTAAAAGAAGAACTATGCATATAGAATAGGAGCAATTTCATTAGGAATAGTAGGTGGCGTCTTTGGTGCACTTACTTTTTTGGATGCATTCAGTACACTCGCCTCATAACCGTCATTTTAAACATGCGATTTATGTCAAAATGATGTCAATCATCACTTATGATGTGATGAACAATAACACACAAGAATTTGCATAAAAACCATTAAAGATTTACTTTAATTTGAAGGATTTAGAGTTTAGAGATTTAGGGGTAGGGTTTACAAATTGGGGTTTAGGAATAGAACTCAAAATTGGAGGCCTAGGGTTTAGGGTATCTGCTAATTAGTTTTTATCATATGTTATATCATCATATTATACTAATTCTACAAATTAAAATTCAAAACCGACACCTTAAGGCTAGTTTTTGAGTTGGGTGCATTCAGGGGCGGACCTACAAGTGTTTGGGAGTGTCCCGGGACACCACTAAATTTTGGAAAAACGATTATCCAACCCGCGGTGGTAATTTACGTATTGACAAGAAAATTATAATTGATAGTCGGGGACACCCCTGAAATTTAAAAAAGTGATTATCCTACTCTCATCTTTTAGTTTGAGTATGATAATATAAGTGGTAGTTTGGGTAATTCAAGTCTAGGACACTTTTATTATTAATAAACATAATTTCCATTATGTTATAACTAATATGTTATTCGATTTTAAACACTGTGTAATAGTAAAATGTCATTCTCTATCTTTAATTATTTTCAAAATCTAACAATTAAACAAATTTCAAGCTACTATTAATTTGTATTGATTTTATGGTTGTACGACAAGTGTTGAAAGAGTCTTTTCAGCTTTGGATTACATCAAGAACAAGTTTAGAAATCAAATATGTGATCAGTTCGTGAATGATTGTCTAATATGATATAGAGAGAGACAATTTTTTTGAATAGTGTAGACCCCAAGTGTGTTCTACAATCATTTTCGAATATGAAAACATATTGTGAATTTTTTCACGTTGTATGAGTAATGTATTTCTTATTTAATATTTATTTATTATTTTAGAATTATTTATATTTAATTTATTTTTTAAAAGCTGGCACCCCTATGTAAAATTTCTAGATGAGCCACTAAATGCATTGAAAGCACTCATTTTTGTGAGTACACCGAAGTAGTCACAAAGAATACTATAACAGCTAATATATATATATATATATATATATTTTTTTCTCACCAAGAATAGTATAACAGCTAATATATACCATTGACCCACTAAACGAAATGAATAAAATAGTATGGGAAAAGGACAAAATCTTAATTATAAAAAAACCTGAAAATGAGAAATGTCAATAGTCAAATGTCAAATGTGAATAAAAAGAACTCCGAAATCCCCAACTGTCCATCGTCGCCACCCGGCACCGTTCCTCCATATAAAACCGGTTTCGCAGTCGAGCCAAAAGAGAACCCCAAATCGCCGACGGCTGCTAAACAATACCAAAACAATTAATATTCAGTTGTTCACATACAAAAACCGAAGACTGCGGCTGCGGCGGCGGGGAAAGGGAATGGTGGATCTTAATCAGAGCGGTGACGGTGGCTGGCACCACCATTACCACCATCACAACCTCTTGCCGAAGCGGATAATCCTGGTCCGGCACGGCGAGTCTCAGGGGAACCTCGACACCGCCGCGTACAGCCACATACCGGACCACAAGATCCCGCTCACCGAAGCGGGTCGGGCCCAGGCGCGAGAGACGGGCGCCCAGTTACATGACCTGATCTCCTCCGACTGTGGCAATTCAACAAACACTTGGCGGGTGTACTTCTACGTCTCCCCGTACGACCGGACTCGATCCACGCTGCGGGAGATCGGCAAAGCCTTCGATAGGAAGCGGATCATAGGGGTTAGAGAAGAGTGCCGGGTGCGTGAACAGGATTTCGGGAATTTCCAGGTCGCAGAGAGGATGAAGGTTATAAAAGAGGCCAGGGAGAGGTTTGGGAGGTTCTTCTTCCGTTTCCCTGAAGGAGAATCTGCTGCTGATGTCTTCGATCGCGTTTCCAGTAAGTTTCTTTCTCTTTCTACATAAAGGGGTTGCCTTTTATCCTTTGTTAATTTTGTGGTAATGGTCTTTTTCATTGCATTGTTGGTGTAGAGTATAGAATGGGAATTCATAGACCAGCTTGGTTACTTGTTCGATTAGATGGAAATAGAGCTTGAGTTTTGATCTTGAACTTGTGGATGAATTGCTGATGGGTTGTTTGTGAAGTAAATGAATCACTGGTATTGCTTAATCTTGATGGCTAAAGAAACTGAAATGAACGGCTAGTAAGATTGTTAGAAATGGTAGTGGGAAAGTTTACTTTGAGGAATGAGTAGTGATGTTTCTGCTGGGAATATGAATAAGGAACTTAATGAGAACAGTTTCTGTTTATGCATGTAGTGGTTGGCCAAGCGTTTAGCATTTGAGTGCTGGTTCTATTCTCATGGCAAAGCGAGTTGCTTTTCAACTCATTCTTGTCATGGTTTTTAGTGTCAAGTTTTGGTTAATTACAATCAGTAAACAGGGTTGTTGCTTTGATTCCCGTTATTGTTCAATTTCTGCCTGGAGGCTTCAGGGCTCGGAGCATTGTTCGATTTACTGGGCTCTGGTTTGTTTAGTTGAGGTGTGTCTTTGAATCTAACTTCTTCGACAATTGATCTGTTCATTAGATAAATCAAATTAGCAATGTGCCTCAATGATCTATCACGTCGATCTCCGAAATGAGTGAAAGTTGTTTTTCTTCAACCTTTCTCCATTATCTCTGAGTGTAGGGTCCTTTTCTTCCAGATGTGGATATCTCTAAGGAGCAAAGGCAGTAGCATCATTTGTCTTGTGTTCCTCTTCGCTAAATGTGGAGGCCACTCATCATTTGGCTAGTTAAAATGAAAACTATACAGTTAGCTCAACCTCTAGTTTAAGTATTTTTTGTAAGAGATACTGCACAAATTCCTCTGCCTGAAGTCTTAACTTCAGCTGTTTGTTTGCTCCATACCATTTACTTTGATACCATTGTAACAGAAATCCACTACTATTCTTTTGTCAGATTTTCTGGAGTCACTATGGAGAGACATAGACATGAACAGGCTACACAAGGACCCATCCCATGAGCTTAACCTCGTGATCATAACCCACGGACTAACTTGTCGAGTATTCCTCATGAAGTGGTTCAAGTGGACGGTCGAGCAATTCGAGCTACTAAACAACCCCGAGAACTGCGAGTTCAGAGTAATGCAGTTGGGAGCCGGGGGAGAATACAGCCTGGCGATCCACCACACAGAGGAAGAGCTCCGAGAGTGGGGGCTCTCGGAGGCCATGATCGCGGACCAAAAGTGTCGTGCCTCAGCTAGTAAGGGCAATTGGAACGAGAACTGTCCCTGGTTCCTGGACGAGTTCTTTGACCCTCCACTTGAAGAGCTTAGCAAGGAAAATGATGAATGCTATGATCTTTCTCAGGAGTCGAGTCCTATGTCTATAAACTCAAAAGAAGAATAGAAACCCATGATTCTTTATAGAATGCAGGTTCCTTCCCATTGTTTGTGTGTACACATACTAGGCTTTGTTGAAGGTTTAGTTGGTAGAAGAAGATCAAATGTAATAGCAGGGTCTGTTACAATGCCAATTTCTATGGTATTGGATTTAGAATTTATCTGTAAAGAAGGTAATTGATTGCTTTACTCATAATAGATATCCATGTCAATAGCCGACCAAGTCTTGAATCCTTGTGGGAGGTGGTTGCTTCTTTATCCTACAGGATAGGGCAGTGAACGAATAGATGGCTCATTAGACCAACTCCAATGCAAGACCCCAAATTTGGCGACCTTCATCCCCAAATTTGGGGATTGCCCCCATTTTTCACAAATTGGCTCCAATGCTACCAACCTCAAATTTGGGGATCTCTATTTTATCCAAGTTTACATTTACTTAAAAATGCACTTATCGAAGCCTTAATATAATTCGTTAATCTTAATTTTTGTATAGTTCGTCATTATTTTAAGATACAAATTTTTCGATAGAATTTTTTCAAATTTCGACACCGAATTTTTTTGACGAAAAAATTATGGACCTAATTTTGGTTTACACACAACACTTGAAAATTATAAAGCTAAAGGAGTTCACATAATAATTTAAATGATACAACTTAGAGATTACACGCAACACTTGCTAATGATAAAGCTTAAAGAACGTATTTTCAATTCAATAATATTTTTTCCATTCTTAGATAATAAGCATAATTTTAAATAAAATGAATTCAATTTAAATCATCTTAGAAAATAAAATAAATTAACCAAACTATTAAACACAAATTAAATAGAAAACCTTCCCTTAATTAATACAAAAATTAATTCACTAACTTTCACTCATTAATTATATAACCATCATTAATAAAACACTTAATGAAAGATTAAAAAAAAAGAAGGACGGAACAACCGCCGGGCGGTGCGGCGCACCAGCCCAATCTCCTCCCCCATCACCCCCCATAATTGCAGATTCCCCCATTTCCTCCATATTTGGAGACCCAAATGGAGGCCACCCCCATTAATGGAGTTTATTCCTTTTTTGCAGGTTGCATTGGAGAGCTTCCTCCTCCATTTATGAAGGATCCCCCATTTATGGGGGCAGCATTGGAGTCAGCCTTAGGCAAAAACCCTTTTGCGGGAAGATGGAAAATATTTTTACTTTATCATTTCCCAAGACAAAATACACTTATATAGTTAAAATTTTCACGTTTGTGCTAATAATAGTCAAATTTTGCGAAATACAATTTATAGCCAACTTTTAAACTTGTTGTAGGACAAATATAGCCATTTCCGTTAGAAATTTTAACGGTGTTAATAACATCATCAACTTATTTGACGGTTCGCTGACTAGACGACAACTCAGTTGACACAACAGCGCCATATAAGCAAATAGTGACACGTCAGATATTTCAATTATTTTATATTTACACATCATAAATTAAAAAAAATGTTACTCTCCCTCACATACCCATCTGCTTCGCACCATCTTCCCCAACTTTCCCCCAAATTCAATTTTAGGGTTCTTCCCCAACCGCCTACCGCCTCTCCTGCAACATCAACTTCTTCAAGTTCCCCTCCCCGCCGCCCACCACCATGAACGACCTCGGCTTCGCCAACAGCAATTGCCGATGCCGCCGCCCCTCAGCAGGATGGCGCGAAATTACTCGAGGTCGTCGCCGTTCCACGACTTGTCGACCACGGATTGCAGCAGCGACTCGATGGAATTCGCGATGAGGAACGATACCAAGTGGCAGGCGAGGACCAATTATGCGAACAAAATCGGCCTCCACGGGTGCGATTTCGGGTCGGGCGGCGTCGGCGGAGACTTGAACCCGGAATCTCAGAACCCTAAATTGAAAAAGGGGACAAAATTGTGGTGGCGCCTTGCGGCGAGAAGGAGGAGGAAGAAGAAAACGGCGTCGTCGATGAGACGGAGAGCTTCTGCTACTCTTTCAGGAGCTTCTCCTTCGACGAGACGTCGTGCGAGTTCAGCGCGCTGGGGAGATGACGGGTAGCGAGAACGAGGAAGGAAAGCTGCGGCGGTGGGATGGCGTCGCTACAGTGCAGAGGATGCTGCGTTGGATTGGCAGTGCTGTGGCATCGCTATAGTGGATTGTCTTTGGAGAGGAAGATGCGGCAGGGGAGACTTGTGATGATGGAGGATTATAGCAGAGGGAGTTGGAGATTTTTTTTTGTTTTCCACAGTGTAGGGTTTAAGCTTTGGATTTCCGAGAGAAATAAAAGGGTTTTCTTTTTTGTTCATTAATTTAATAATAGTAAGAAAAGCCAATTTCCACCTAGTATGATTTTGGACAAAAAAATGCACATGTGGTTGGCCACATAAGCTCCGTCGTTTGCCCAGTAACACTTGTACGTGGGCACCGGGCCGTGCCGCTCACGGGCTAGCACGGCACGACACGGTTAGAGCACGGCACGAGCACGAATAATTTATGGGCCGTGTCGGGCCTAAACTTCATAAGCACGGACACGAGCACGACACAATATATAAGTGGGCAGTGTCGGGACTAATATTTTCGAGACTTTATTGAGTATAAGAACGGACATGACAGGAAAATAATATTTAATTGATAGAAAATAAATATGAAAAGAATTATAGGTTCAAATATTACAAAACCCAAGTAGAAAAATAATTATTTGTTGTTGTTAGACGTGTCGTAAAGATATATACGTAATTATTAACATAAGTAAAAATGGACAAAGAATTAAACAAAGCCAAATCATACTCGCTATACTCTCAATTTTCTTTCCCTCCTTATTTGTTACTTTTCTCAAACATTACCGGTTAATATTATCTTCCCCGTCCAATTTTCACCTTCTTTTTCATTCTCTCTTTTGTTTTCGTCCTTTTCATTAAACACAAATACTAGCATGACACGAGCACGAGTAGGCACGACACGATTCGAACCGTGCTCGGGCCTGGGCAAGGCCTAGCAAAATTAACAAATGGGCTTGCATGGCACGACACGAAAACTGATGGGCCGTGCCAAGCACGACACGAAATAAATGGGCCCGAAGCGTGCCCGTGCCGTGCCAGCCCAAGCACGGCCCAGCGCGCCCATACAGACTCACACTTAACGTTAACAGCGTTAAAGAATTGGACAGAAGTGGCTATAAGTGGTATTTCGCCAAATTTGGCTATTATTGGCACAAACGCGAAAGTTTTGACTATACAATAATACAAGTGTATTTTGCCTTTCCCCAAATAGATGCAAGCAATGAATGGTTAGGAAGTTGTTGCTAGCAAGTAGCAAGCAATGAATTTGCAGAAAATTAACAAATCACAGAAAATCACTCGGTTTGGAGATATGTGCAACAGTTTGAGATTTGTTTATGTTTTTACCTTTTTAACTTCAACAGAGATATGAGATATTTGTAAAAAAAAAACCAAGAGATATGAGATAATAAATGAAAAGTTTTACAGTGGCACCATGGCTTTTATTTATTTTGTCAGGCTGGCTCCATTCCAACAGATAACTACCTCTAGTCGTTCCTCCGTTGGCCCATTGAATATGTAAGAAAAAAAAAAGGAAAAGAAACAAGGAAGAAAACCCAAACAGAAAAAGAGATCAAAAGGGGTAAAACTGAATGATTAAAGCAAAACCTTTTTGGATTAATGTTTAACTTTAACTTAACCCCAACAATCTTCAGTGTCTCTCTCTAAGCTCTCACTAGTGACTAGACACTAATAACTACTCTAAAATTTCACACTTCCCCAAAGTCCTATAAATATGTTTCATCTCTTCTTACCTTTTCTAGGGATCTGGATCTACACCCTTCTACTGATGCAGTCTTGCATAATTCATTAATTCACTATCAATTTCCTCAAACAACTCAAAGCTTTATTCTTCTTTTACCTTCTCTTTTTCTAGACCGCGGTGAAAGAAAGAAAGGAAGGAAGGAAGGAAGAAAGAAAGGACCCTTCATTCCTCTTTTACACGTCTACTACATTTCTATTTTCCACTTCTTACCCTACATTCTTGTTTGAAAGCGTCATAAATGGTATGCGTTGCAGTCAAATTCCAATTGCTGTTTGACAAATCTTGAAAATGAGTACCTTCTCACTTCTGCAGAATAAAGAATTGGGTTCTGGATTTTTTTCTCTCTTTTACCGATCCGCCCAAAAATGCCAGCCGTCTGAGATTTCGAAGTAGGGATGGCAATGGGTCGGGTCGGGCGCGGATAGTGCATATCCGTTACCCTACCCATGGTAGTTCGGGTTTTATCCATATCCGTACCTACATGTGAAACGGGTAGAAAATCAAAACCATGCCCATACCCGTTCGGGTTTCGGGTATCCACGGTTATCCATGGGTAATAATTTCTCTTCATAACTCCAACCAATATGTTAACATTCACACGTATTCTCACATTACGTAAGAGGAAAAGTACGACAATAGTTCACTAGAATGAAGAAAATTAATTAAAACTACACAATTTCATGAAAATGTTATATTTATATGCTAAATATAAAATATGTTAGAGAAAACTAATAATTATTTTTAGACAAAATACATATGCATGTGTATAATAGGGCAGGTTCGGGTTGGATTGTGAGAATCCCATGCCCACCCATTACCCGCAATATTCGGGTTCGAATTTTACCCGTACCCACTAAATGTCATTCGGGTTTGAGTTTTACCCTACCCAATTAGGCCGGATTCGGGCGGATATCCGCGGATACGGATATTTTTGCCATCCCTATTTCGAAGGTGCCTTCCATTTTGAAGCAAAAGCCATAAAGTTGAGTTCTTTTTCAAGTTATATGACAATGGCGCATCCTTCGGAGCATTATGCAAGTTCTCGGAGCAGTGGGGCTGTGATAGTGAGCTTGATTTTAACGGTTGTGTTCTGGGTTGTGTATATTGCAATGGGGAATCGAGGAAATTCAAGTTCGCTAGATTCTTCTTCTTCTTCTTCCTGCCAATGTGACTGTGATTGCGTCGAGGATTCAGCGCTTCTTGACTTGCCAGCAGGTGAGAGATCTTCTGAAAGCCCAGAGACCTGCTTTAATTGTTAGTCTTGCCTGGTTTTTCGCTTTTTCCATTTACGGCGTGAACTTGAAGCATACTTGACTGCATTTATATATAGTGATTGGCTCAGAAAGATGTATCATGTCTCTTAATTAGTGTTCCCTGATTTAAGTTACTCAATAGCTGCCTAATCTCTGCTGTGATGTCACTTTTTTCTTTCTGCAGACTCTATCAACAGCTCATATGCAGGTTAGTCTATTTCAATACTTCAACTAATCCCTTAACCCATTTTCTGCTAGATTGCTTGAAATAGTTTGTGTATGCACTGAGATTGAAAGGAGGGTAGGAATGGGAACTTGGGATAAGGAATAATCAGTAGTGAACTTCCATTAGATGCCCTCATGCCTGCAAAATGCCATGGAACATTTTCCTCTTGGCTCTTGTAGATTGGTGTAGTCAATGTTGTCTTTGTTTTCCTAATTGTCTCAATTTTCGTCTGATGCAGATTGCAGTACGAACGATCCAGAGATCAAAGAAGATATGGAGAAGGATATATTAGCCTTGCTATCTGAGGAAATTGTATTGCAGAAGCTAGTAGCTAATGAGTCACTGCAGCGAAGCAAATCTCTACTGACAGAGAGTGGAGTGGTTTACACTCATTACAAGAGGGAAGCAGAGAAGTGCATTGCACAAGTGGAGACATGCGAAGAAGCTAGAGAGCGAGCCGAGGCTGAACTAAGGGAAGAACTGAAGGTCACAGCTTTGTGGGAGCAACGAGCTCTAGAGTTCGGATGGAGCAGCAGCGGCAAGAAAAGAGTGCAGTGATCAGAATTAAGATTTTTTTGTTTGCAGAGTTACTTGTAGGTGAAAGCTTGAATAGAAATGTGTTTTGCTTCAAGCTAATACTACTGAGTACTTGGTCCTCTTTTATCTTCCATTTGAAAGGAAAAGACTGGCGAGAGAGAATCAAGGTGAATTCTTAAATATTCATGAATAGAATGAAATAGAAGTGGGAAATTCCCGATACAAGTTATCATGGAATTCATATATTGCATGGTCGTATCTTGTTGCAAGTAAAACTACAGAGGATCTATTCAAAATAATGAGGAATCCTCTAAGGAACATGAAGGACAGAATGGCTGACTGGATTGTAATGTATAAATGTATCTGAATATTGAAATAATGCAAGTACTTTCACTCCGCACCAACATTCCTCTCCAATTGTATAAAGAAAAACTTGCATCTGCTTTGACAATGCTTCTATAATTTAAGTCAAGTATATACTGTCCATAACTGCAAATCCAGCTGCAACTCCTCCTTCGTTTGATGCAGACACCTTTGTCCTCATCAGGTAACCGCTTTTATCATTTACAAAAAAAACCTTATCCTTCTTCCCGCAACATCACAACTAATGTATGTCAATCAGTTTGTTTTAGTGATGAACTTTCATTCTCAGTTTAGGATTAACATACCTCATATAAGTGTCGTAGATTTCAAGTTCTGATATGACATGATCTTTATGACAGATTCCATCACACACCAAAAATGTGGCCGAATCTGTAGGAAAGATTCTCTACATGAGGATGTAGGCAGCATTCTGTTGTTCTTTTCCATCTTACCGCAGTCTAAGGAGGGCTTCCCTCACATCATCACCATAGATATTGTTTCATGGAAAAAGAATATGAAACAAACTTGTTAGCATGTGGAAAGCCAATACAAATAAAAGAGGCAAGTGATGATGATGAATCCAGGAAAATAAGACATCTCCGCCTTCTCTTTGGGGCTTCATCACAAATAGATGTGTCCTTTCAATAGCCGTGTCAACAATATCTGCATCATCTAGACTCCAAAGGCCAGCAAAGCATTTTCTTAATTTGGCAATGTCGTCTTTGTTATCAAGAAATCTGCACAGAAAAGAAAAAGAAAACGTTAAAGGAGGAACAAAATGGAGATTCTGAGTACGTAAAGAGAGAGTTTACTTCTCAAGCACGTCAGGTTTTGCAAGTTCTTGTTGTATTTTCTTGGTTCCCGTCAGATGATAAGATATGGAAGGACACTTAATGGCTGATGAACGCTCCATCAGTAGTCTAGCTCTCCATTCCTATAAATAAGAAAACAATACAGACAGAAAGTTTATCCAACAATCAAGCTGATTTGGCATATCTCATGTTCTAACCTAAAGCTTGAGAAAAATACTTCATGTCAATATGAGAAAATCAATGTGCCTTTTAACTATTAATAGGAGTTACAACCAACCACCAAGGATATTATGAAATCATGGCAAATGATTTAAAGCTAAGTATGATGGAATTTTATCTATCGGCCTCATCATTTCTCCCGTTCAGGATCAGGGTTTAAACTTTCTCTCACTTTCCTCCATCAAGAGCATTCCTCATATTCAAACACTTAATTCCACCACATAAACAAAAGAAATGCTTACTGCTTCTGAAGGATAATCAGTTGGTGCATACCTAGCTCTAAAGTATATGACGGCTATCGCATGGCCTCCCCTGCATTTACACATTTTCCAGACATAAAGAAACTACCACACAGAAACAGAATCAATAGAGGACAAAAAAAATCAGAATAACAAATTTGCACGGAAAGACTGTAACATACACAAGTAGTGTTCCATCAGGCTGAATTTCCCCTTCTTGGTCAATTTCTGCCATTGTCTTCCGGATCATTGTAACATTATGTGTGTTAAAAGGCTAAGGAAGAAATTCTGGATATGGTCTCCAAGAAACCACATTATTTTCTACAAAGAAGTATCCGAATTCCAAAAGTTCTTCAGAGTTATGGTTGTATCAAGAACATCATAAAAGGATATCTTTCCTTGAGGGTGAAAGAGAGCCAATGTTGGTCATACATGTTGCGTTCTTCAGGTTGAACAACAATCATGATTACAGCCCTGTCAATGATATATTCATCATGGTTACTTAAACAAAGCTTCATTCACAAACACTGTTGAACAAAATTAAGGTTGTGAGAATTTGATCTAACTTCGGGTTATCATATTCAATCCAAACTTTGGCTAGTGCCTCTGAGAACCGATCAGCAGCGTCATTAGATGGTATTCGGTTAAATCGCATCCAAGGTGCTCCCCATAATTCCTCAGCAAGCTCCTGAAAAATAAGTACCATTGTGACCCTTCGGTGTCGGCTTTCAATGAAAACGAACACAGCTTCAGTGAAGAAATAGCATCCAACCTAAATTAACTCCTTATGAGAATCGAAAATCAAACTGAAGTGTAAACTGCAGCAATAGGGAACAAAGTGCAGAGGTTCAAACAGAATGCATTTTCCTGACCAGTGAAGCTCACTAACCATAGAACTGAGACCAGGGAATGATGTAGAGATCGTGTTTAGTTCTATTTGAAGCAGAAGCTTAGTTTGTTCATCTAGCATGTAATCCGAACGGTGCAAACCCAATCGTATCTCTGACATCCCAAGCATTCATATCAACATCTTCTCATCAATTTGGAAATGCGGGAACAATTCAAAGAAACTCTGAAGAGCATAATTTCAATTAAAAAAAATTCCAATCAAGCTTCACTTGCCTCTTTCTTGTTAATTTCCAGCATCTTTGAATGGATGTCTAGAAGCCTTGAAGTAAAAACATCAACTTTCTTAGTTCTACAACATGAATAACCGGAGAATCATCATCAATCACAAGAATTTCCACAATAGCAAATTCACTCTTTTTAGCTACTCTACCAAGACAACAGGATTAGCAAAGCAATGGTAAGAAAGAGCACCTCGATAATGACTCCTGCAAGAACTTCCCATCCAAACTCACACGATCAACAAGTTCATTGAAAATCGGTGCCAATTCACACGCTACCTTCCATTGATTTTCTGGGAATGCTGTTGGCAACAATGCAAAAGGAGCTTGCACCCTTCCAACTCCAGGTACCGTTCCCGATCTCTGTAAAATCAACAGTAACCCAATTACCAAAAAGTTCCAAACTTTAACCCATTCAAAATGTCTGACAGAACTACACTACATTTAACTCATTTTTCAAACTAAGCTTTTCCAGTCCAACAACAATTAACAGCAAAAAGAGAGAAAAAACAAGCTCAACTAACTTGAATTCGTTATAAGATCAGAACCTGGACGTTTCTGTCACCAACAACAAGGCCATGGAGAGAGCTCCTGTCAGAACAGAAGCATGCAATCGATAATCCAAACCAACACAAACGAACACAAATTTAACGTGGTTTACTAACACAATGTGTGCTAGCTAATCCTCGGACAGAGGAGAACAAATTTCACTGATTTGAGGAGAGTACATGTTACAAACCAAATTCCAAATGGACAAACCAAACAAACTAACCTGACTGACCTTACTACAGATTAGGGTGATGAAGAGTATTTATAGAACTCTTCTCCTAATCCCAAACACAAAACCAAATACCTTTTCCCAAACATACAAGGAAAAGGTCAAACAAAGCCCAAACAAAATAGGCCCAAAACACAAAACAAACCCAAATCAAATTCAAGTCATATTCTAACAATCTCCACCTTGACTTGAATTCTATGTCAAATACCAGATGTACCAGACGCAACCAATGGTTCCAGATGTACCAGACGCAACCAAAGTTGCCATATGTACCCAAACGCGATACATATCGCCAGACGTATCCAAATGCGATCGAAACCGCCAAACTCAGATGCAATCAGAATTGCCAGACCTACTAACTCCTCCAAATCAGCTGTAACAGAATCTCCCCTGCCTCCAAATGCCCCTAAGGGCGGTCAACAAATCAAAACATGCAGCAAGTCCAACCCATGTTGTGACTTGCCATCCAGAACTAGCTTGGTGTTATTTCCGTCCATAACACCAATATCAAATTTACCTTTAACTCCAAACATGCAACTCCAAACTGACTTCTCAATCTTCAAATCCAGAACATACATTCTTGGTGATCGAAAAAACCCTAATCACCACCCAAAGATAACCTACCAAAATTCTGCCAAACCCTAACCAACCACCTCACCGCAGCTTGGTGGCAACCACTGACAAGAGTTCACCAAGTCAAATTTTAACTCGCCAAATCCAAAGCTCCACCACAAAAACAAACAATGGCTACTCTATGCAATCCAAAATTGCAGTGCCACCCCAAACTTCCCAAAATCCCAACTTGCTGCTTCTCGCTTACTTTTTCACCCACTGGTTATGCACTAATTTCAATCGGCTTATGATAATAATTACAAAGCCACAAATTCAACTTACCTCGAGCCCGCCGCAACAATCCAAATTGCACTGCACGATCAAAACACCAGAGCAAGCACGTAAAGCAAATAACGGATGGGAGCGGCCAATGAACGGAACAAATTACTGAGCCGGCATGGAGTAAATCAAATTGACGACGGCTGTCTTTACCAAAAGGACAATGACTAATCGGATTGCAGCGGCCAACTCAAATATTTCGATCACAATCTCAAAATCGCAACCGCGGCTCTGATACCACTTGTCAGAACAGAAGCGTGCAATCGATAATCCAAACCAACACGAACGAACACAAATTTAACGTGGTTTACTAACACAATGTGTGCTAGCTAATCCACAGACAGAGGAGAACAAATTTCACTGATTTGAGGAGAGTACAGGTTACAAACCAAATTCCAAATGGACAAACCAAACAAACTAACCTGACTGACCTTACTACAAATTAGGGTGATGAAGAGTATTTATAGAACTCTTCTCCTAATCCCAAACAGAAAACCAAATACCTTTTCCCAAACATACAAGGAAAAGGTCAAACAAAGCCCAAACACAAACCCAAACAAAATAGGCCCAAAACACAAAACAAACCCAAATCAAATTCAAGTCATATTCTAACAGCTCCAAACAAGGGCATCGTAGACCATCTTTTGGACCAAATCATCATCTAGACTGTGCAAATCCAACATAGGTTTAGAATCACTTCCACCTTCATTCTCCATCTGGGCAGCTCTTCCGCACTTTAAAGTTGGAGTCTTTGGAGCAGAATCGAGCATGAAAAGCCGTTTGGAAAAGGGGGATTTTGTAGGTTTTGCGTTCGAATGTGCTGATGTGATATGGAAAGTGATTGAGGAAAGGGGAATATTAGCAGTGGGAGGGTGAGGGATGGCGAGAGAAGAAGAACAGCCAACGCCCATAATAATCGCCGCTTTTTCCCTCTTAGTGGCTATTTTTGTGGGACTAGGAAAAGTGATTCCCAGGCTCATTGACAAGTCATAAAAGATGACGACTTTGGGATATCAATCATCAATTATAATTCGAATGTTACAGAATTAGACTATTTATTTTTATCGGTGTCAAGATCAACAATCCATAGTAACTTCTCTCATCTTCCATTTTCCATTTCCGTTTATGAAACTAACTTGAGTGTATTTGAATCTTAACTCAAACTCACTTTGATCTTAAATTTTGAGATCGTATAACATGTTCATTGATTTCTAAATTAGGTTTGTGCTAGCTGTTCTACTTGGTTTTAGACAATTTTGCTTATGCGATACTTTCTTTTATCCATCTTACTGATCTAGCTTTCTTTTATTGGACTATGTTTGCTTGATGGATTTGGTGAAGAATTTGGTGACATGATGAACTTTGTCCATAATCCATTGTTGCTTCAAATATTTAGAGGTAACAAGTCCGTGGAACCCATGAACTTTGAGGATCCAAATTCATGCGCCTCACGGACTTGGAAAATCTCATTTGAGAGATAGTGGCCAATAGCTAGCGCCATAGTAAAACACATGTGGTCTACGTCTATCATCATAATTTGTTAGCATCCCAATTACAACTATTTGTGAACAAATCACATATTCATTTGCAAATAGACATATTTACATGAATCTCAATTGAGAAATAAATGCAAAACAAAAGTGTTTTTTTCGAAAGAGTTTATTGTTCCACATACATGCCCTTTTATTGAAAACAAATCACTTTAACAGGTGACGTTGATCGAATCACGAAGTGACAAATAATAAATTGTTATATTTAGAAATTAAGAAATGATAATGCAAAGAATATGGAGAAAAAAACACCACGGCATCAATTCGCTTTATAGTCAAATCATCAAGTGTAAAATAGTTGATTGTGGAAAAGAAGTGACACACGAAATTACGTGGTATTCCCGAAAACCGGGACTAATCCACGGAGAGCATAGCTCTCGAGAAAAAACTTCACTAGTCTTTAGGATGAGAGTTTTCGGCTAGGGTTCATAACCCTCATACACGAAAATACCAGCCCTATATACCACTCAACTATCACGTAGGTATATGGGCAAATTACCAAATACATCAACATAAAACAAGAAACACAAATACAGTCCAATACTCCCCCTCAAGCTGAAGCATGCAGGCTAAAAATGCCAAGCTTGGACAATAAGGTATGGAACTGATCTGTGCCTAATGCCTTGGTGAAGATATCAACTAGCTGGGAGCTGGTGTGCACCTTGCGAGGAGCAATCTCGCCAGAAGAAACACGCTCACGAACAAAGTAACAGTCCATCTCCACATGCTTGGTCCGTTCATGAAAAGTGGGATTAGCAGCAATATGAAGAGCTACATGGTTGTCGCAGTAAAGGACCGTAGGTGCACGCTGAGGAACACGCAGCTCGCCAAGGAGAAACGAAGCCAAAAGATCTCACTGGTGACACTAGCCATGGCACGATACTCTGCCTCTGCCGAAGAATGCGCGACAATGAGCTGCTTCTTGGCACGCCAAGAAAAGGGAGCACCACCGAGGTGGATATAATACCCATTCATGGATCGGCGGATAGTCTGACACCCTGCCCAATCTGCGTCACAATAAGCAGTAAGCTCCAAGGAACCAGTGGACGGGATTAGAAGACCTTGACAGGGCACTGCCTTGAGATAACGCAGGACACGCTGTGCAGCAACAACGTGATCAAGACTAGGGGCATGAACAAACTGACTGAGCACATTCACCGAGTAGGCAATATCCGGCCGTGTAATGGTAAAATAGAGCACCCACTCAATGAGACGACGATAGGAGCTGACATCATCAACGCGATCCTCACGAGGACGAGTAAGAGTATGATTCGGCTCTATGGGAAAATCACTAGGAGGAGCCGCACCCAAACTAGCATCATCCAAGATATCGAGGGGTGTACTTACGCAGGCAGAGAACAATGCCATCCAGTGAGCGGGCAACCTCGAATCCAAGGAAATACTTAAGGGGCCCCAAATCCTTAATGCTGAAGCGGTCATGCATAGTATCAAGGTCAACACCGGTCAAAACGACATCATCGACAGTAAATCAAAGCGGCAACATACACATCGGAGGCCTCATAGATGAAAAGGGACGGGTCAGCCCGCGAGACGACGAAGCCAAACTCAACCAATGCCTCAGTAAACTTCGCATACCAATTACGGGATGCCTGGCGAAGCCCATATAAAGACTTTCGCAATCGACAAACGCGAGTGTCGCCCTCCTGTGCAAAGCCCGGTGGTATACGCATGTAGACTTCTTCGTCAAAGTCGCCATGGAGAAATGGGGTATTGACATCTAGTTGATGAAGATGCCGACCCTTCTGTGCAGCAACAACTAGGAGGACACGCTCTGTGACTAGCTTGGAAACAGGAGCAAAGGTGTCATGGAAATCAATGCCCTCCAGCTGGGTGAAGCCCTTGGCAACCAAACGTGTCTTGAAACGTTCGATGGAGCCATCAGGATAGTACTTGATCTTGTACACCCATTTGCAGTCGATCAAGCGTTTCGAAGGAACCGACTCCAATGTCCAAGTCACGTTGGAAACGAGAGCATCAATCTCCTTCTTCATAGCGTCACGCCATTGTTGATAACGAGCAGCTTGGGAGAAATGTCGCGGCTCAACCAGTGAAGTCTTTGCAGCCAAGAAAGCACAGTGGTTAGTCGAAAAATGATCGTAGCTAACATAATCATATATAGGAAACTGCACATGAGAGATGACGTACCGGGGAGCTCAACATCATAGGAGGTGAGGCGAGCAAGGGGACGATGATCCCGAGGCGGATTAGGGCGGCGGCGACAACAAAGGGTCAACATCAGCACCGCCGGAAGGAACCGTTTCAGGGATTGGAGAAGGAGGCTCCGAGGAGGATGAGGTGGAGGGCTCAGTCGCGTCGGTAGAGGAGATCTCAATCCCAACACGATAAGCAAGCTCAAAATCCGAAGCAAGTGTAGTATCCACAGCAGCAGGTAGCTCCCCCTCTCGACGTGAATCATGCATGGGAAAATCATCATGCAGTACGTGAGGGACCGGAGAGGTGGTGTGGACAAGAGGAGAGGAAGCAGGAGAGCGCTCAATGAAGGTGAATACCGTCTCGATGAAGTGAACATCGCGCGAGACAAGAGCTTTGTGCGTCGTGAGATCAAACACTTGGTAACCCTTCTGGGAGCCAGGATAGCCGAGGAAGACGCGCGCACGACCACGACTGGCGAACTTGTCCATACTATGATGAGTGTCTTTGGTATACACAAGGCAACCAAAGACCCAAAGATGGGAGTATGTGGGAGGACGATCCAACAATCTCTCAAAAAAAGTGAGCATGTCAATAACCAGAGGAGGCAATTGATCAGATAACCAGCCGCAAGGACACAGTCTCCCCAAAATCGAACAGGGAGCCCAACATGAATCATAAGAGCGTGAGCAATCTCAAGCAAATGACGATGCTTACGCTCCACGACTCCGTTCTGCTGCGGAGTGTCGGTACATGAAGTCTGCAGAACAATGTCGTGCTCCTCATAGTAGAGGCGAAGCAAGGCAGTCTGAAACTCCAACCCGTTATCGTCCTTTATACGGCGAACAACCTTGCCATACCGAGTGTGAACAAGTTCAAAAAACAGTCGAAGATAGCGCTCCACGTCAGACTTAAATTTCATCAAATAAACCCAGGTCGAACGGCTAAAATTGTCGACAATATTAAAAAATAACGAGTTCCATCCAAGGCAGGAGTACGATACGGACCCCAAATATCCACATGAATGAGATCAAAGCAACTAGTGATCTTGATAGAACTAGAAGGAAAAGGAGTGCGTGTCTGTTTAGCACGAAAGCAAGAATCACAAGAGGAAATATGCCGAGAATCCAAATTACAACCCAGAAAATCCTTCAAAGACACCAAGCGATCAAAAGAAGGATGACCCAAACGACTGTGCAGAGCTCCTCAGCCT